ACAATGATACACATTTTACACAATGTAGGGCGTGCTATGCTACAATGAAGATACATGCTTCAGTTTCTACCATGTCGATTACCTATATACAGTATAAATAATTTATACTTTTATCTCCACCTATTATAACTGAGAATGGTTCTGCTACTAGATGTTCTTCAGCGGTATAAAATTACAAATGTATCATCATGTTGGACTATATGTATCTGCATCAATTGCTATCACGCGCACATTTTCTCCGATCTATTCCATCTCTATCTGATCTATCCGATCTATCCGATCCACTCACACTCACACTCAGACTCACTCGATCTCCCCCTCAAGCCCCCACGCCGGTCCTCCCCCGTCGCCCGTCCTCCGATCTGCGCCGCCGCCACCTCCTCCTCCTCGCTGGACTCGGTACCGGCCTCCTGCTTCGTCCTCCCTCTAGTCGCCGCTGGCCGGCCCCTCCTCGCTCCGCCTTCCTCCTCCGTACTCCCTCCACTCGCCGCCGGCTGGCCCCTCCTCGCTCTGTCTTCCTCCTCCATCCTACTCTCTTCCCCCTCCTCCCTCCTCCATCCACAACCCCTCCTCCCTGCTACATTTTGATTTAGTAGGCTAGTTCATTTAGTTGATTTAGAACATTTTGATTTAGTTGATTTAGAACATCTTGATTTAGTTGATTTAGTAGGCTAGTTGATTTAGTATGCCTATTGATTTAGTTGATTTAGAACATCTTGATTTAGTTGATTTAGTAGGCTAGTTGATTTAGTTGATTTAGTAGGCTAGTTGATTTAGTTGATTTAGTATGCTAGTGGATTTAGTTGATTTAGAACATCTTGATTTAGTTGATTTAGTAGGCTGGTTGATTTAGTAGGCTAGTTGATTTAGTTGATTTAGAACATTTTGATTTAGTTGATTTAGTATGCTAGTGGATTTACTAGGCTAGTTCATTTAGTTGATTTAGTATGCACCATTTTATTGTTATTTACTTGATTTAGTAGGAAGAACCAAAAATATCACATGCTACTGTTTTTCTTTCCTGTGAAGTGAATCGTTAGTCCTTTGCTCATATTGCTTTAGGAAAATGGCGCCACCACCACCACCACTATGTCGACTGTGCAAGTCAAGGTGCGCCAGCAGCCTTGCAACTGCAAGCTGTTTGGCATCTAATTCCAGCCGAGTTTTCGTCATGCGGCGGTAAGAAATTAGATGAAATGTATTTTAGTTGTAGATACATCCATTTCTGCGACGAGTAAGTTGGAACGGAGGGAGTATTTTATCTTTAGTGTTGGCATTACTGCATTGTGTCATTTTGCTTTTTTTACACAGATTGTCCCATGCAATGTGAGGTTGAAATTCAACAAGCTGACAGGAGACACTATGACATTTGAGGCTCCTGGGGGGCCGTACACTATGGAGGTTGAGAAAGGACGCAATATGTCGCAGATTGGAGGAGATGGATGGGCCCGTTTCCTCCCACATGCGTCTTACTGGTGGTGAGTTGATCAGCTTCTCCTTCAGAGCACAAAGATCCAAGTTGGCTGTCATTTATCTCAACCTGGTGGAAGATGACGAAGATGATGAAGATGATGAAGATGATGAAGATGAGGACGATGATGAAGATAATGAGGACCCACTCGATGAAGATGATGAGAACCCAATTCATGAAGCTATCGTAGCTCAAAGAATGAGGCTGAGCGAGGAGAGGTGTGCAACCTATGGGACATAATTCCGCCACGTGATGACTTTGTAGGGGTGCCATTCGTGACCCACCTAACAAGTACCATGGTCGATCGGCATGAAATGGTATGTTATATGTACTGCCTGTAGTAATTTGATGATATATATATGCTTTATTGTTATACTTACAAATGCAAATTATTCGATGATATGCTTAGTGAATCCGATGATATGCTTAGTGTAGAGTGCAATGATATGCTTTGTGGAATCTAGTCGATGATATGCTTTAGTGTAGAGTCTCATCACATGCTCTTATTAGTGGAGAATCCAAGGAACTATTAATATTTGCAAGAGTATGCGTGAGGCTATTTATTAATTGATATGTTTTTCTTATTCAGAGATTGCCAAAGAATCTATCTGTGAGTTGTGGTATCGAGCCTGATGAAGAAGGCTCAGCTGGACGACGCCTTACCGCAAGGGGCTCCGTCACCACCTGTACTTACCGCATGGACACAGACGGTCGCACACACTTAAACTCGGTTGGGTGGAAGAGATTCCTCGTTGGCAAGAATATCTTCGTGTTGGACAGGCCATCCTAATTACTATCAGGGACACCCACTGCCCAGGCTTGAGGATGATGATCGTCGTCGATATCATTTAGAACTACATATGTGTGTGTGGCTATATCATCTAGAACTACATATGATGATCATCGTCGATATCATGTAGAACTACATATGATGATCGTCGTCGATATCATCTAGAACTACATATGATGATCGTGGTCGATATCACCTTGTACTGCTTGAGGATGCATGTTGAGTATATATGAAATTGTTATCTAGTACTCCCTCCGTTCCAAATTACTTGTCGTGGTTTTAGTTCAAATTTGAACTGAAACCATGACGAGTAATTTGGAACAGAGGGAGTATTACCTAGTACCTATAATGCTTTATGAAATTGATATCTAATAGTACCTAGTATCTGGAAATTGTAGTTTATTGAAGCTGAAACGGGGCAGGAAGCTGGGGGAAATGATGAAAGATATAGCAGTAGCGCGGGGTCAGGAAATCGCTACAACTAATTAATAGTAGCGCGTTCCTGGAACGCGCTGCTGATATAGTCCATAGTAGTAGCGCGGGTACTGGCCGCGCTACTACTAACAGTTAGCTGTAGCGCCTTATTGGTAGCATGGCTGCCCGCGCTGCTGATAGCCTCAAAACCCGCGCTACTACTAGGGTTTTCCCTAGTAGTGTAAGCATGCTCAGGCTGGCGTAGTGAGAGGATGGGTGACCGGTCGGGAAGTTAGATGAGATGGAATGATGAGGGATGATTAGAGATTAGAGGTTAAATTGAGTAGCGTGGAGGGCCTTTAGTCCCGGTTGGTGTAAGAACCAGGACTAAAGGGGGGGCCTTTTGCACCGACCGTTTAGTCCCAGTTCCAGAACCGGGACTAAAGACCCTTATGAACCGGGACAAATGACCTTTTTTCTACTAGTGGACCCTAGTTCTGTGTAAGGGTATTAGAGAAGGGATAATTGGTGGAATTACTTATTGTATAACTGAGCCTCATGGGTGAGTATATATTGTGAACATGTATTGAAGTACAATAAGTCCTCGTATAAATAAGGTAGAAGAGAGATATGAATCCTATAGTACTAAATACACATATAACTAATGTACAATAACATCCTTGCAGTTAAAATGGTAGCGGCGCAGACGGTGAATCTGGAAAAGAAGGCGAACAAGCTTGGTTGGGTCGGCCATCGGATTCAGTCGGATACGTCATGGCGTCTACGGGCGTTTCACATGCGGATGCCATGCGGGCCCGTCCGGAAAATAATAGGCAGGGCAAACATACTCTGCCGGCGTATCGGTCGGTCCCTTACCTGCGAATTCCGCCCACCTGCAACTCTTTCTTAGATGAAAAAAAAATCCAAATGATCTGAATCTTTCAAGGATCAAAGATGTAATGTTCTTGCAAGGTTTTAGCTAAAAATAACATTCGAGAAGACCTCATCTGAAAAAACAAAGACATTGTTCGTCTCAAAGTTTTAGATTTTTTTTTTGAATTCACTGTTCATAGAGGGTGTAGGGGCACCCGGGTGCTGAAAATCCTGTCTCCTTAGCTTACTGTATCACACCTTTTTCCTATTGTTTCAGGCATGACCCATAGATCAAAACTAAATTATGCAATACCATAATGAACTAAATCATGCAATATAGCCTACTATTTCTTTCTCGTTACGCAGATGATTTTGTATTTTCATGACTTGGTTCATGGTTTTTAGGGTAACCACTGGTTCATGGTTTTTGAGAGTAACCGCTGATTTATGTTTACCAGTCTATCTTGGATGCATTATTTATGTATTGATCTTTCGAGAGTTATGAGATTGTAAGTTTCCATAGAATGCACTATTTTAGCAACTCCTACATCACGAGTCGTTCTCAAGATCGCAGTGCCCATGCCACCATGTTGAAGACATCCCTTAAGTTGTCTTGAGAAACAAAGTGCAGAGTATGAGGGTGAAATCAACAGCTTCAAATACATATGATGGTCAATAAATAAGTCAAAATAACGATCAGGATGAATTCACACGACCATTATATGTCTAGCTTAGATTGTGCTGGAAAACAAAGTGCAGAGTATTACTCAAGTTGAATGAATACATTACATTGACTGAGTACATAAATGCAGAGCTAGTAAGCAACAGAAAACAGCGGAAGTGTAATATTGTACAAGGAATCCCATGTTTGCGTGCTGAAGTAACTGAAGTGGAGAGAGACGTGCACAGTTGCAAAGCATACAGGGCCAGACTTGCTCGTTTAGCATACAAATCATAAAAAGTAGTGCTGTTATAGTACGCAGAGTATTGACTGCAAATAGTGGTACTGTTATACAACTCCATAAATAAAGGGAAAATAGCGTCAGAATTCTAACAAAATCTGGCGGTGCCCAGGACAGAATGTTGAAGAAGAAATACAATGATATAATTGAAGGTAAGCAGAAGTGAAAAAAAAAGTACTACTTGATTATCAATCCAAACAAGATCTCTTTCTGGGAACAGAATGATAGCCAATGGCATTATAGGAGCGCTTTCTGATTACTGATCTTGCAGTTCAACATGGCAACAACTTCCTGTCTGAGTCTTGCAAAATAATAGTTCTACTCATCCCGATGTGCTGGATGAATTCTGCAAAGAAGCATCACATTTTATAATCCCACCAGCTTATTAACAATTAAAGGGGTCCAGCTGTCCAGGTATATTTTTAGATCACAAACCTGCATGATGACTTTGATGTTGGTATTCCCGTCCCACAATTCTGTTCATAGCTTTCTAATTATTGCAGATGGCATATTTCCATGTCTTTGGTTTCAACAGGGTAGGGACAGGCCTTGGCGTCTCTGCTGAGGCAAATAATGCAAAAACATACACTTAGGCGAACTTAAATAAAATTAAAAATGAGAAAAGTTTAGGTTAAAAGAAACATTTTATTTGGTCCAATATTCTGTGATACTACTAGTGATGATATTATCACTATCTAACTATCACGTTTAATACTGACTAGCAAGGAGTAATAGAGAAGGTAATTGCTGCGTGCTTACCTTCATAAAGATGGGCATCTATGTGTTTCGTCTGGATGCTGCCCAGCCTTTGCTGCAGGCTCATAGGAAGCGTCTTCATGCCAGGGACGTCTCTAATGCGAAGACATCGGAGAGATGCGTATGCTTGTGGCCCATCCGGTAGGGATGAAAGGGTCTTGCATTCCAGAAGCTCAAGAATCTCCAACGATGGGAGCTCTCCGGAGCTAGATTCCAGAGATGTCAACCATTCACACTCAAAAACTTTTAGATACGTCAGGGAAGGGGGAAGATGGAGGACCCCTGTTAAGCCATGACACCTGAATAATGTTAGGCTTTCTAAATGCTCCACTCCAGCTCCGGGCGATGATGATGATGCATCCGGTATACTAGATGAGACTTGATTAATTGACAATGCCGACTGTTCTGGCTGCAACCTCCTGCAGGATATGGACTCAAGCTTACTGCAAGAAAGAATTTCCATTCTCTTGAGAGAGGCAGGGGCATTGAAGACCTCAACCAGGCTTCCGCAAAATTTTATCTCCAGAGACTCTAGATGTGGCAGGAACTGACTTGTTTCTGATGAAGTTGATGGCTCGGCAGGAGCTTGTGCATATCCAATGAGATTATCACACCCGTAGATCACAAGCCTCCTCAAGGATACCAATGCTTGGAACTCCTTTTCTGGCCAGTGGACGAGCCCATCACACCGCTGAATTGACAAATCTTGAAGGTGTACAAAACATGCACACAGCTCTATTACACCTGAGTACTTAATTCGGTCTAACTCCAAAACTGCCAGAGGAAAATCATGATCATTCCGTTTTTCCTTGCCGTCCACAACTTCCCTCAGACCATGCTCAGCCTCAGTCAAGATAGTTTCTGTGTTGTATTCAAGGCTTTTCAGTTTCAGATTGGTCAATGAAGTCATATGTCTAGCTACCCACAGGAACAACTCTGCCTCACATCCTTCCGTCTTCAATACACTGAGCTTTGGTGATTTAGCTCTAGTTGTCAACTCTGGACATGCCTCAATATGAGCATTCTGAAGGTTAGGGAAGGTCGGATGTCCTGGTAATACTGTCAGCTTCTTACAGAAACTAATAAACAATTTCTCAAGCCGAGGAAAGATTATCTCTCCTTGCATCTCATCATTATCCATTGCCCACCATCTCTCCAAATTATCGAGGCTTCGTAACGTAAGCTCTGTCAGATTTGGAAATGCGAAGGATGTATTACTGTCATGGCTGAACAACCATTGCAGTTTTATACAAGAGAAAAGATGGATCTGAACAATATTTTGCAAACTTGCCATCCATGTTGGAAAGGTGGTGGCTCCATACAAGTGTATCCTTATAGTATGCAGTCCATCATGAGGTTTGAGTTTCTCAAGCACTCTTGCATCATTTTCATCAACTCGACAGCGAGTTTCACAAAAATCTTGTTCAACAGTCCATTTTAATGTCAGTTCCCTTAGCTCCTTGTTCACGAGGTTTGCCGTGCTGGCATCTTTTTCAGTCACGTTCGGTAGATGACATAGCTCTAGTTGACCACCAAGTTTCAAATTCTCGAGCTCTCCAACATTACTGCAATTAGAGCCACTACCTACTACAAAGCATGTAAGTGTCTGAAGGGATGTGAGTTTTCTGAGGTCTCTTGGCATGCTCTTTAGCATTGGACAACCATGAGTGTAAAGGTGACGAAGGGCAGTCATATACCTCATTTGTATTGGAAGTTCACAAAGAGATGTGCATCCAGAGAGGTTCAACACTTGCAGGTTGTATAGAATGCTCATATCTTCAGGAAGTGCTTTGATTAAACTTCTTGAGAGATCTAGGTACCTCAGGTGATGTAGATGCTTTGGTTTCAGCGGAAATGATGATGTTTGCAACCTGAGTTGTAATGCTTGCAAAGAGCTGTATTTTGATGGATGCTGCAATGACCATTCCATATAACTATAACCATCACAGAGAATTGTGTGGATAGCTGGAGAGCTGTTCTCCAGAGAACTATTCAACCTTCTTTCTGCTTCCGTGCATGACAGAAATATATGTCGAGCGGTGTTTGGAAGCCACTCACTCCGACATGATTCCTCAGTTCCCAAGGCACATTCGTTCTGCATTACAGACAATGCAACATCATGCATAAGATCATGGATTTTACATGTAGTTCTGGAATAACAAGACTTGCTGTAATTAATTTCATCAGCTGTGGCTTGGACTTGTTTAACATCCTGAAAGAATGACCTTGATGCCAGTTGATTAAAAATCTGTTTGGCAATGGTTTCAAGACGAACTTGTTTCTCTTCAAGAATAAAGCCATGTGCAATCCATAGTTGTATTAGTTTGTCCACATCAATCTTGTAATCTTTGGGAAATATAGCACAAAAAGCAAAGCATTGCTTCATATGCTGCGGCAAATCATTGTAACTGAGATTGAGTATCGGTAAGATTCCAGACTCCGCAGTGCAAATGCTGCTTCTGTTTGATACATCCTTCCATTCTTCCTCACTGGTCTTGTTACGCAGTACGGAGCCCAACGCTATTGCAGCTAAAGGAGAGCCAGCACATCGCTTCACAATCTCATCAACCATATTCACCAACACGGCGGGCCTTTCCACTTCCTTCTTGAAACGGCTGAATGCTGTTGTCTCGATAATTTCCTTTATGTATTCTCCTCCCAAAGCTCCGAGATTATAAGCTTCAACACTACCCATTATTTCCGCAACTCCTTCATCACGAGTTGTTGTCAAGACCACACTACCCTTGCCACCATGTTCAAGGCAGGTCTTGAGCTTTTCCCATTTACGAACCTCTCGTGTCCAAACATCATCCAATACAAGGAGGTACCTTCGTTTGCTCACCAGATTCTGAAGGATATCCAGTGGTGTGTTCTTCCTTTTGGAAGGAACTGCTGCTTCTGTACCATCATAATTCTTCTCGGGAGCTGCTTCAACTATACTTTTAGCCAGAGAATCCACATCAAAACTGTCAGAGACACACACCCATAGCAACAAATCGAAGTGATTATCGATTTTAGGTTCATTGTAAACAAGTTGTGCCAACATAGTCTTTCCCAGACCCCCCATTCCAATGATGGGAACAACTGTAAGATCTGTGTTGTTAGCTTGCCCAACTAGTATATCAACAATAATCTTGTTATCCTTCTCTCTCGATCTCTGGGCAATTCCCTTTGGATCGAATATAACATGATCTGTCTGCCGCCACTGGTTGGATACCGGCAGTTGTTGCTGATATTTAAAACCGAAGTTATTCATTTCGGTCACAAGGAGCTCAATGGCCCGCACAACCTTGCCGAGCTTTCTCCCCATCCTGTTACAGAATACAAAACGGTTGTGGGTGGGAAAGAGTTTTACCATACTGAAGCCAAGGTCGTCATAGTGTCCCTCCTTTTTGGCCTTACGGCGAAGTGCCTCGTACTTGAACTCATCAAAGACTTCATTTGCCTGGTAAGCCACCTTCTTGATGGCCTCGAGCCAAGACGCCGCCCCTGCACGACGGGTTGCCGCCTGCACAGGGTCGGCTGCCGTTTGCTCGGCATCGGTGATGATATCTAGGATGAGAAGCAGTCTGCGCTTCAAGATATCATGTTGCTTATCCAAGCCCTTCATCACCTTATACTGGCGGAGGAGCTCCCCGGACACCTTCTCCATCACGATCTTGACCAGTGGTCCGACCACCATGGTGGCCACCACCGCCGCCATTGGAACACCAGGGACTCGCAAGAACAGAGAAGCACGAGTACAGGGCAAGGTGGAGAATAGAATGGATCTGAGCAAGAAGTGCTTGGTTGCTTGTGAGCAAAGGATAGCACTGACTCTCGGGGAGAGGTACGTGTGCATCCACTACCACAGTATAGAAACGATGGTCGTACTTAATAAAATTATACGACCTTCAGAAAGCTTTATGAGCATGTTTTATGCCTTTTCTAGATCTGCATCATCTCATTGGCTAGCCTCAACCAGACCATTTTCCCCCTTTGGCATGCCTTTCCGGTAAGATTGACTAATTAGCACGCACCCCCGACAATAACACATCTGCACATTCCTGGAAAGAGGTGTACACCATGCGGCCCCAACCACTCCTATTCCTACATACATTTCTTTTATTACATTCTCCCTTGGCTCATGTGCTATTATATTCCATCGCGTGACCAAACACTTGGTTCTTTCACACGACCTATTTCTAATGACAATATTTGACACCACTTATGAGTTGCCAAAAAAATGCAGTGCCCAACTGGTAGAAAATACAGTACAGAAAATATATGTGGTACAAAGTTACCAACAATGCAACAAAGAACAAATACGAAAGGAAAATTGCAAAAAATGCAGTAGACAAGAATATACAATAGAAAAAATACGCAATAGTAGACTAACGGCACAGTAGATAAATGGTAGAAATACATTAATTGGAGAAAATACACGTTACAAGGCTTCAGAGGATACACAGTACAAGATTGACACGTGGTAAAACTTTTGATTTTAATCCATCGCAGACAACTTAAGTTGTAGTTGTGAACGTAAAAGTTTGGTGTTTTATAATTTCCTATTGAATGTAAGCATATACAAAACAACAATTAAAATACATTAGTATGTACGAATAAAAAGAGAGTAGGGAAAGTATTCATAAATAAGGAAAGATTTAAATTTGACATAGCTTTTGCCTTTGTTAAAAAATATTGACATAGCAAAGTAAACATTAATAAATACGGGATAAACATTAATGCAGAGCAAACAATCGACAAACAGATGAATTTAAATTTGAATAACACTCCCCTGATTACCCGGCCGTATAGCACCGGGTCATTTATCCTGGAGCTGCGGAGTACCTTTTTTTCAAAACCATGCACCACAGCTCCACCTCTATACTTATACGCCGTCGATTTTGAAAGCACCGTCCTGGAAGAAGATTGAGCATAATGCACAGGGCAATTTTCTAACTGCAAGGTGTATTCCCTTGCTTTGTTTTTTCCAAGCTGCGTGTGAAGTGTTGTGACGATAGACTTAACCATTTTTTATCTGAAAATGTGACAACTTGCCCACTATTTCTCTGGTGATGCGATGTTTATTTACTTGGTTGGTGGCTTTGCTGCTTTACAGTTTGGCACACATGCGTAGTCTAGTCATCCCTTAATTGAATTTGACCCCTCTTCTTTCTCCCTTGGCATGCCTTTTCAGTAAGACTAGGCACACACACGCTTCTCCAGAGAATAATACTATGTCGCATGTTCCTCTAAAGAGGTATACACCACCCACCACCCACTCATGTTCCGCATGCATTGCTTTTCTTACATTTCACCCTTGGCTCCCCTGCTACTCGGTTCTTTCACATGACCCATCCCTTCTAACAATACTCCCTCCGTTTCTTTTTAGTCTACATATAAGGTTTGGTCAAAGTCAAGCTTTGCATAGTTTGACTAATTTTATATTAAAAAATATCAACATTCACAATATGAAATCAACATTTTCAGATGCACCATGAAATGTATTTTCATATTATATAGTTTAAGTATTGTAGATGTTCATATTTTTTAATGTAAATTTGGTCAAACTTTGTGTAGTTTGACTTTGACCAAAACTTATACGCGGAGTAAAAAGGAACGGAGGGAGTATTAGATAGCACTTCCGGGTTGCCAAAAAAAAAAGCACCATCTTGGAAGGAGATCAGCATAGTGCACCGGACAATTTTCTAACCGCACATGTTTTTTTTTCTTTTACGAATATGCACACAAACTCATGGACAAGTAAGGAAGCACATAGGAATATAGGATGACCAAACACTGCCGGAAACAACAAATACAAACAGTTAAATCCAGACTCCTGCTGCATTGGCATGGGTGACATGGTATTGGTTTCAGAAGCAAAAGTTACTGCAAAAATACCCATGGATATATACAGCTGTGCCACTAGCCTACTATCTTGATAAGTGTTGCCATCTTGCATCACTAGCCATGTAAGCAAGATTAGTGTGAAGCAGTGTGATGCATTACCAACTAAATAAACAATAGTACGAAAGGGACGACGCGAGTAATATATGGTTTGCGCTTGTGCTAATGAGGCCAGTTGGCTACCTGTAAGATAACCATTTTTCTTGTTCATTACCAATGCTGAGGCTAGTACATTAGCAAAGTGCAATAATGTCATACTTCCGGCTCACCAACTTGATAAAAAATACTGTGGAAGGGAAAGAAACTAACAATTTTTTTCGTCGTTATGCCTAAAGCACCCAGTTGGCTTACCTACTAGCATAGCCATTTTCCCTGTTCGTTACAGACGCTAATGCCATAAGACAAAGCAAGACTGCACGTCTGACCAACCACACTTGATTGATTCCAGCATCCTCTCCTTAAAGCTCTGCCACCAACCTCGAAAGATCCCAGCGTGATTGCTCAATCCTCCAGCCCCACACGGAGTGCACTGAAAATCCGGCGTGAGAAGAACGGAATCGCTTGGAGGATGCACGGCGGAGGAGGATTCCGGCCGGTGTTCTGTCGGATTTGGGGATAGGGATTTCGCTCGAGGAGTAAGAGTAGGAACTAGGAAGTGGGCGTGCCGGTTTCCACATAACGGCGCATAGCCCGCTCCTTCCTCTGCTCGGCCCATTTACATTTTTTCTTTTTTATTCAACATTCAAAAACTATGCGAGTCAAGCGTGTCTTTGAACTATCGATCCCTTAGTAAGTTCCTACAGTACCACTTAACAAACTATGAAAGCTCACTTGCTGTGCCTAGTTACTTCTTCTTTTCTTGTTGTTGTTCTTCTCCTTTTCATTTTGTTTGCCCTTTTTTCTTTGGTTTTTTTCTTTTTATTTTTGTACTATTTCTTTTTCCTTTGCTTAGATTCATGATTTTTTTTCAAATTCTTGAAAAAAATTCTTAAATCTGCAAACTTTTTTAGAATCAACATATTTTTCAAATTCACTAACGTTTTCTTTAAATCCATGAATATTTTTCTTAAATTCGCAAACTTGTTTTAGAACCGTGAACATTTTTTCAAATTGATGAACATTTTCAATTCACGAACGTTTTTTTAGAATCGTGAACTTTCTCAAATTCGTGAACATCTCTTCCAAATCCATTAAAAAAATTCGCAAACTATTTTCAAACCCTTGAATTTTTTTGTTTGAATCTGTGAACTTTTTCTCAAGTGCATGAATTCTTTTCAATTTTGTAAACTTTTTTCAATTCATGTTTTTTTTTTCAAATCGATGAACTTTTTTCAAAGCAGTGGATGCTGAAACTCTTTTTGACTGATTGGGCCTAACCCAAATCTTTTGGTTACGTACTTGGTAATGCAGATTAATGTTTAATGCAGGCTTGTCCATGAGCAGCGGGTGGTCATCTGCATCATACTTGATCCCAGGTCCGTCAGTTAATCTCTGAAACCAGTTGCATCATACACGCTGTCGCATTTGTCTGACGGTGCGACGTCTCTCTGGACACAGACGAATGCAGTGGACTCTTCGAGATTGAGGGCACCAACGGTCAACGGAATGCAGAGGCCATCCATCGAAAAGCAGGTTGAGGTCAGGATCACAGAGGAGTACAACCGGAGACACCGTCGGCGACCTATCGATGGGGACGCTCAGTCTGTCGCAATTTTGAAAACCACAAATCATCTCTGAAATCCACTATCCCCTAAAAGCTTCATTCTCTATGCTTTATTGGACTCCAGTTAATTGATCATCGTATCATCTCATTCTATAATGTAAACATTCTGTTTTTCCTAGTACTAAAGAAAGAACATTTGCTCATTCTGTTGCAAGTAGTAGCTGTTTGGCGGTTTTCAGCTATGGAATTTTTTTCTAAACCTTTTGGTGATGTTGCTGGTGGTTATCAGGATTCCAAATCGATTTCGTTTCAAAAAAAAAAAGATTACTAGAACCTGTTTCATCGACGGCCAGCTGATTAACATGCATCGTGCCCACTGGCAGGAGGAAGCTCTAGATCATCCTCCTCCTTGAGGGACGATCGACGAGGAACTTAAAGAGATTTGTTATGATTATCATATCTTTTGAAATTGAAGTCCTAGATCTCTAGCTAGTACATAAATTTTAAGTGGTTCGCGACGACACAATGTTTACCAAAGTTCCTAGCATCACTTCAGGACAGTATTCCTAGTGCGGAGTACGAGTGAAAACCAAAAATTAAGTGGTTCGACAACTTCAGATAGTCCATAAATAACAGTGGATCTATGTGCAAATCAGAACACTAGTACTGGCATATGTGGCAAACGCAATATTGACTGTATATAAATAGGAGTTATGAGTCTGGTAGACAAGTCCATAAATAAAATTGGGATAGCTGTGATAGTTTGACAAAAACTGACGGTGTCCAGGGCAGAACGTTGCAGTATTCCTAGTGCGGATCATACAATTCCTAGTATGGGGCAGTCAACAGCTTCAGATATACAGTATAAAATGGTGAGCAAATACAATGATAAGTCAACGCAATAGTACTGTCATACATACAGTCATACAGTGACTAACGGACAAGACATGCCAAAAATTGAGTCAAAATGTTATCTCTTTCGGGCATAGCACCCAAACAAATACTGAGAATTTTGACAAAAGAACTGACAGTGCCAGTGCAGAATACCACCAGTGCCAGTTGGAAAAAACAATGGCACAATGATATAGCAGCCTGTAGGTAAAGTGGAAAATACACGCACTAAATTATCCAAAGAAGATCACTTTCTGGGGATATATAAAATGGTATGCAAAAGTATTATAGGAGTGCTTTCTGATTCCTGATCTCCCAATTTGGCATGGCAACAACTTCCTGTGGGCACCTGGTCCCGGCAACGACAATTACTGATCGTGGCGGGTCTTGCAAGTACT